TAAAGCTTTTATAACTTAAAAATCGGTTTGTTTATTGATATATTACAAAATATTATAATAATGGTACATATATAGATTTATATGCACAAATTTTTAATGAACTTAAATGTACTGCTTCTTCCTCTATGACAATATAAATATGAAATATTCATATTTTCATCGGATTTATTTGCAATCAAACAATACTGACCGTTCCAAATCTATTTAAATATGAGTTTTATCTTTTATTTTGATAAAAAGCAAAATACATGTATTATATTATTATTGTTATTTTTTGAGCAACTACAATAACTTAGCGAAACTATAAAATAGTTCATCTACCCGAGTATAGGACCTACATATAGAGAAAGACAATTAGCAAGTTTCACTGCGCTACTACCGGTAATTACGTGAGTAATTAGAAACTGACGCAAAACTATTACAGTGCTTACACTTTCATATATGCCATGGTTGACCTGTGAGCCCGTAGTCAAACACCATAGATTTCAGTTAATAGGCGCTACTATTTCATAGGCGTCTATTCAGCAAATAGAGAAACAAAGAGTTAGAAATGAAAATGTAACTTATTTTATATATATTATTGTTTAGGATTTATTGAATATTTTTATTATTTATAATTATGTTCTTGGAATTCTCACCAAGTATATTTTTAGAATTTCCATTTATAATCACTCTGCTTCATAGTAATTTCTTGAATTATCAAACTATCAAGATCAGAAAATGTTCTAAATAGAGAAAATGGATCTCACATCCTGATTATACCTAATATTTGTAATTATTAAGACGATGATAAAATTTATTACAACTACTTCCTAACTTAATAGCTAATATCTCTGGCTAAATTGATTAAGGAAATTGATTTTAGAAAAAATAATACAGCTCTCTCATTGAATAATTCTTGCATTATAAATAAATGTCCCTCACAGTTCTATTTACAAGTCCTATTAGTGACATTCTGTTCTTCTATACTCGAACCATCAACAAATTTATTTCCCTTGTAAAACAATAGTATTGCCAAAGTAATGTAATAAGAAAATAAATGTCGTATTTTCCGAGTTCACTAGTAAAAATCTACTACATACAAAAGTCTGTCTAATATGTCGTATGGTACGCTGAGCGCTATATATACCAGTATGCCATGGCCTTAACAATATGACACGGTACATGAAAACGTCACGGTTTCTTCTAGTGACGACGGCAGATTAATCGCAATGATTACACGCGTCAAGGGAACGCCGTTAACCACTTTCTATTAAATGTTTTATAAAAGTCTAGTTTTGTTGTAATTAAATTTAGAACATTGTTCGGTTAGGTTAGGTTAGTTTTCACTGTATTAACAACAACTGTCAATGTCGGATAGCTTTTTTTAATGAATATAACGGACGAATATATAATGTCATTTATCATTGCAATATATTATTTAAAATTGTAGTATCAAATATATAGCAGTAGTAGTAGGTACTGATATATCGTATTGAAAGCTGCCCTGGTCGTAGGTAATAACTGCATTGAACCATGTTTTAGACAGTCCAATGTTCTGTTACACTACGCTGCTCTAGTGTGGTTAATAGAATAAAACTTACAGTGATATTAGAAATTTTAGATACCTATAACATATCATCTAATTCCTGGTGTCATTGCTCCTATTGAGTCATTTGAATTAATTAAATAAAATACTAATAATAAAGTAAAATCTGCTAAAACAAGTATAAAAACGTAAAAGTACAATGGGAATATATATATAACAATAATATATCAGATATCACTGCAAGAGTTCGTTAATAAGACTGTACTTGACACGAGTATGAAATATTTGGGAAAATACTGGCCATTTATAACGGCGCTGTGCGACGACTATAATTATTCTACTCGCGGAAGTATTTATAAAACTAAACAAAAACCATCAAAAACTAAACTATATTATTTAAAATATAACTGTAATTTAGTACATACTCATATTATGATATAGGTATAGTTAATTAGCTGACGCAAACAATTTCGTTTCTTTGAGAAAAACTACCTCTTTATATTATTAATATATAATAGATCAATCTGTTCTAAGTGTCCATAGATATAGAATTACAAGTTTCTATTTTACTTCGATTAAAACCTAAAGGCTTATGAGGATATCTATCTGTATTATATTTTGGTGCTATAATATGTTCCTTATATTATATGAACTTAATAATAAAGTACCTAAGTATAACGATAAGACATTATAGCGTTAAAATATTAACTATATGAATGTACTCATCTAATCCTATTACAACATAATGGCAGTAACTACCCAAGCCATACCCTGTCAGGCTCTTGAGCGATTTATTCATTGCATATTTAGTGGCAAGCTTCTGTCAAACTACTTAAGTTGTGCTGTGATGAGGATGCGGGGGTTTGATTAACAAATAGTAATTAGATCACAATTAACTATACAGTTCTATGACAGGTAATAATACTTACCTATCTATTTAACAATATGTAAATAGAAATACTTCTCACAACTGTCAGGCGAAATTAATTAGTATTTTACATATCAGAACCAGCATTTGTATTATAATGCAAGCTTATTATTAATGCATATTAATAATAAGCTTGGAGAATTCACACAACGCCATCTAGTACCAAGCGAAGCAGAGCATGTGAGTACTAAACCACTGTTTATAAATTTTCAAAAAGTAAAACATATTTTAGTATACAAAATACTAAAACTAGTTTTACTTTTTGAAAATACATGTACAATATATATGTATATAGAAAATAACCAACCCAATATAAAGGTTTGAGTCAATTCCTCGGAATCGAAACCGCGACTATCTTTAGTAAGGTAGTCTTAAATTGCTAAAGGCCGAGGCTGTTTATGTATTACACACTGTTTGTTTGAGAAAACTGGATATAGATATGCCGGAAATGTAAATTATGACCTTGGCCATCCCAAATACACGGCATATAAATTTATTAAGATTGATTGAACTATTATAGTAATAAACTCCCGGATATACCTACTATTAATATCTCACTTAATATGCATTAGTCTATTTCACTTTAAAACGGGAATGACCTGAATATAATATCTAATACAATGGCCCACTTACGAAGCTAAGTGCTGAACCGCCCGGTTAAACTGGCTAACTAACTTGATTTCCGATATGTCGTCTACGAATAATTGTCGTAGTGTGACATTGAGTGCTGGTCCCTAATAAGTGTGACAAATGCTACTAAGAGATATATTTCAGGTCTACTTTGCTATGAAGTTCCTATTTTGTATCACATCCAAATACGTAATAAACGCCTACAATCTTTACACTTCGTTTAAAAATAAATAGATGTACCTATGTATATTTTATGAAACCCGTTTTAAGATACAATATATCGTGTTAAAATTTTATGAACCTGAAAACAGATAACATGCTTGTACTTTAAATTATGGTATCATGGTTGTAGGTATGTTTATTTTAATTCTGTATATAATATAAAACATCTAGATCGATACAAACAATCATACTCATTCGATGGGTTCGATTCCTCACACAGCAAAAACATTTGTATGTATATGTTTTTGCTGTGTGAGGAATCGAACCCGCGACCATCGGAAGTAAGGCGGTGTGGAAAACCGCTGGACCACCGAGGCGGTTATTACATTAATTAGATGTTGATTTCCGAATATACTTTCCTGTTGTTTTGGTTACTGAAATTTTAATTACCTCGTATTAATCTATGCGTTCATCAGTTAAATTGTTCCAAGATTATGTAGTATGCTAATGCTAGTAAAGTTCTAAATTTAATTTTGAGTTTAACAGATTTATAGCATCATATTAAAAACTAGTTTATGTGACAATGCTGGTCATTCGTTCATTGTTTCAGTTTGCAAATATTTAGGCAAATTTATATACATATTCCATTGTTTAAATAAATTCACAAAGTTGACACAAATGTTGTATTTCCTGCGTAACTACGAACCAGTATGTTAGAAGTGAAACGCTTATAGATACATATACATACGAGTATATGTGGTGTATTCTCGTCAGGCGCGAGCTATTCTCTTTGTTTCGGGAATCACATACAATATGTAGCGAGTTGGGAGTGGCGGGCGTGGATAATGCCCTGGATCGGGCACCTCTTCAATGGAACCACATGCGAAGGCGCTTACTAACGTGATTTGTTATAGGTAATTCAGTAGAACACGAGATATTTGTGGGGATTTGAGACTATTTTAGCTACATCTCGCTATAGGTGTTACTGAGTCAATTGTCTTTATAAATAAACATTACTAACTTTAGGTCTGAAGTAAAATGGGTAAAATAATTTTATTATAAACAGATGTTATTATAATAGGTGTTATCAATATTACGAGGAGACTATTGAAATTATATAGTTATGCATTAGAGACATAATTGTCAATTATTGTAAATATTAGTATGTTTGTTCTTGTATTTTACATACAATACACAGAAAATCTAACAAGGAGTAACGTGGCTACAAATGTACGCCTAACAAGAAATTATGCCAATGAATTCATATTAAGATAAATGATAATGTTCGTAGTAAGATGTAAATGATAGAAGTTTTGATAATGATAGAAATCTTGTCTTAAAAATTAATATTCTATTTGAAAATTTAATATTTAGTATTTATTTGGGTATATTATGTTCAATTTCTGCCTGTATTAAACTCCCATGGATGGACCACTAACATCCTATACGCTTGGCTTATAAGTTATCGTTTAAGTTATTAGGCATCACGATGTTACTTTATATTTTAATTTATATTTTTTTTTACTGTTGTTGTTTCGGTTGTAGGTTGAGAAAAGTGACACGTGATACATCTTAGTCTTCCGAAATGGTAAATAATTGAGCGGGGTCAGGGTCACATAATATCATGATGATCCTTTCATCTATATTGGTGAAGTTTTTATGAGGTAGGCCGTCAGTTGTTTTACTATTCTAATTGTATAAAAAATGGATATAAAATAGAGATATATCTGGTAAGTAATAACATTTACTCACCAGATACATGTTCTTCATTGAATGTGACGCGGACGGCGTGTGGACGTTGTAATTTGGGCGTGAATGATGCTGCGTATCTATTTCCTCCCAAAGGACGGACGGAACTCGCAACCAGTGTACCGTTGCCGCCTGATACCTCCAGCTCTAAATGTCCTGGGCCTGCACTACTGCAGTCCACTGTAGGAGAAATAATCGTTGATATTGTATTTTCATTGTAAGATTCATCAGTTCTACTAGCACTAAATATACACAATGTTATAGCAAAACACACAAAGACATCCTTTTATTAATTACTACAATATTGTTTATACAGAAAGAATAAGGCCTACACACTACACGTCCTGGTAAAACCTAATTAATACAGTAATCCTAACAGCATATAGCTGTATATTGCAGCATCGCCCGCGTGATTCCAGCTAAAACTAAAAGTACTGTTGAACACCTACGAAAACTCTGTTAACATTTTACCTGAATCTAAGGGCAAGAATTGTAATAAAATCTTATCAAAAGTCGTAGCGTTAAAGAGTGTCAAACATCCAAATATGAGGTATATTCATCCTCACAAGCTGTATTACCAGGATTAAAGCTTCTTTTTCTATAATATTTACAGCAGTAGACGAGATTACAGCGCGATTGGTTATTTCGGAGAGAAATAAAGTTTTCTTTACCTATAAATTCAACAGGTTGTCCCACCACACCTCCGTAACTCGGTTTTACGACTACTCCTTTGGCACCTCTATTGTTATCCCTTTGAATTGATCTGCAACAAATAATGCATTAGTACAGTACGCAAAGGGACACCAGTGATTTCGTATAGCTTTTGTTACCTTTTCTAGCTCATTTATTGACTGTGTGAAAAAGTAAACAACTAGAATGAACTAATAATATATTGAATAAATAAATAAATAAGTAAACTGGTCAATACTTAAAATGCCAAGTCACAAAATAAGCAATATTTGTATTATGGATACTAGACAATTATTAGTAATATGGTAATAGTTTATTTAACATAATACTATGCATCGGACATACATAGGATATAATCAAATATGGTCATAAAAAATATCTTTTATTAGCTTCATTTTTAAATTATCTTAGAATAAAACTAATTTATGGACTTAGGGTCCTAATATTTATTTAAAAGAACAACTAACAAAAATCTTATTGGTTCTTCTAGTGAATAGTCTGTTATACATATAGTTTTTATGTTTATTAGTTTTAAATGATCATCATATACATATATAACAAAGAACCTTAAAATTTGATGCAGTAAATTTAGTATAAATTATTAATACTTCTATATTAGAAGTATTAAATTTCTAAAAGTATTTAATTAAATCTGTTCATAAGACATGCCGTATATCTAATTTCACGTTCAGACTTAACAAAATAAAAGCAAATTAATAGAAATACTCATTATTTAACAGAGTATAAAACTCGCAACCATTGCAAATCGGTTAGTTGGGGTATTTATTATAATATAAATTCGACGATAGTCTATGTTTCCATTATAGTAGAAAGTAGTTTAAAATATATTTACTATTTTCTGCGAATACTGAACATGAAAGGGAGGTAAATTAATTTCGATTGTGTCTGAAATATAATGTAAAAGGACTCGTGCTACAGCTTTTCCAATGTTATAACGTTCATTTTGCGAAGAGAGTATTTTATTTATAATAAAAATAGTCCCGATAGTGAAGGGGAGGGTGTAAAATTTACAGCGTCGTGAAAACGTCTGCTACGTTCAACAGATTCATATTTTCGCCCGAGACTGGAGTTATTGCGTTCTTGTAATTTGTTTCACTCAAAGATGGAACTCGGCAGAAAGGGCATGAATACAAAATGGCAATTATTAAAAACTGAGCGCAATAGAGTATCTGGACAGGAAGAGGCATGAAATCTTTCTGAAATGGCAATGCGAAAGTGGTATCGCGGTTGTAACATGATGACGTGATGTCTATAACGTTGTTCATGTATTATATATAGGCGACGATTACGGCTAACTATCGGGTGGTCCGTAAAATAGTTTATCATTCCAATTACATAAGAAAAACAAAGTATCTAATTTCCGCAAATTTTTGTTATAGATTAATATATCTGTTACACGCGATATCGACTACTTATTTAGATAAAAGAAGCCTATATTTGATCAAGTACCTATCACTACTATATATTTCATAAACATCAATGCATGAAAAGGTAACAACAAACATGCACACAGATTGACTTCAGCAATACCAATATTAGTATGAATTATATATATTTATGTCCTATATTTTCTTTGTTTAGTTTAATTTATTTATTATAAATATGTTGTTAAAAGCTTTAAGTATCATGAAAACTATATATTTAGATTACATTTATAATTACTTATTATTTTTAAAGATTTTAATTAAAAATACTGAAATAAAACATATGAGAAATAAAGAAGCAGCACATCTCTACTTCAACAGTTAATTACACGAGTAAAGATAAATAATAGTAAAAAAATGTTATAGCGAGTGAAAATAAAGTACAGCTTAATGTTGCAGTCGAAACCAAAGAGAAAGGATAAATAGTTTTATGTATTAATTTTCTCTGCTTGGCAATATTTATACTAAAAGCTAATTACAAACGAACCACTGCATAGAAACAGAAAGGGTCTACAAGCGTTCGTGGTGCATGACGGTCGCTTTGTCTTCTACAAAGAAGACAGTTAACGTAATATAGTTAACGTAAATATAGACATAGTTAACGTAAATACATATACTTTATTTTACTTTTCAATTTATAATTAGAATAAAACTAGTGACCGCCTGCGATTTAACCTACGTATTTAATTTTATAAGTGATATTCTGATACGTAACTTACATACATATGAACTTCAGATCATCTAAAAAAGTAAAAGTCATAATAATTTCTTTAAATTATTGTGAATTTTAGTCATCATAATTTAAAGAAATTCTTGTTACACTACTTCTGATGATTTGCAAAAAGGACACATGACGCATGTAGATGTTTTATTATTTAGTTTAGAGGACAAAATTTATCTACTCTAAATAACAAAACCGATAAAGGTACTTATTTTATTATGAATTAATTCAGTACTGTAAAATCTACGTTGATATTACATTAGTGTTTAAATTAATATATTTACAGTTCACAATGTTGACTATAATAACTTCTGTATAAAAGATTTTTAGAGCTAGATTTTAGTGTAACTGTAACGGATTTCAACATAGCTTTCAGTTTGAAGATTTTTTTCAACCTATTAGACGACACTACCTTTTTAAGTTATAGCTTGTGTGCTTTTCTAATGTAGAAGCATATCACTATAAAAATTCATCAAAATCCGTTATGTTATATTGTGTGAAAGGGCAACGAACATCCATACAAACATCCATCCATTCAAACTTTCGCATTTATAACATTATAGAAGAAAGTATTGTTGTAGAAGGCACCAAATATCTACCTGAAACGTGCGTGAGCGGCGTCCGTTTCAGTTCGGGCCCCCCCGTTCGGGTCGCGGGGGGGCCTATTGGATAAAAAAGACTGCTGTGGTTGTTGTTGTTGACGGTCCTCGACGCTGCTATACGACGAGTCACGTACAACGTATGATGAGCTCTCCCGTACTTCACGTTTGAACTCTTGCTGCGTGGACAAACAATTACCATTAAATTGGATTAATTACATTCAATGTAAGCTTTTTTAGTTTCATTTGCACATATATAAATACATGTCTAAAGACACTATCATGGAATTTTAAAACCAGTTCTTAACTATTATTGTTTGTAAATCCATTATCTCTTGTCACTGAGGAGTGGAAGTTTGTAGTTCTAGAGAAATCCTTTCTTAGTGATAAATGATGATTAAGTATATTTAATTCTAAGTTTTAAACTCCATTGGTTCTTTAATTAATCAGTCAGTTTGCTTAAAGAAGTATTAACAGAATTATCAGTAATTTTGGTGATATAAAATTTGTTTTTTAATGAATAAAGAATAACTGTTTGTCCAACTGTTTATTGACGCCCTCATTGGTCTAATGGATACATTGCACACCCCTTACTTTCGAAGGTTGCCGGGTCGATTCCTCGCACGGTATTCATCAGCATGATTGTTTGTAGGTCTGGGAGTTTTCCGTGTACATATATTATGTATGTATTTTAAAATATATATATGTATGTATTTATATCAGTTGTTTAGTAACCAAAGCACAAACTCTGCTTGGATTGGAAGTAGATTGCGGTGTGTCAATTATGAAATATTACTATTATTATAGAGAAGGGAGAGAGAGAGAGAGTGAATTAGAAATAGATATCATTATGCCAGGTAAATTAGTGAAGATAGATAGATAAAAGAGAATCATTAATAGACATAAAAATGCGAGGTAAATTATTTTTGTTTTATATGTTAAAAAGTCTATTAACTCACACGGCTAGAGTACGTTTCAGAGTCCCGGTCGTCCGCCAGTCGGTCCAGTTGTCGGTTGAAAGAATCGCGTGAAAAATCACTGAATTTATTTAGTTGTGTGTTGCGTTTCGTCTCCCGATCCAGCGTGCTCTGTCCATAGCGGTCCGGATTACTGGGTTCCAAGCTGCGGAAAATTCATACAATTACAGTAGATATTGGAAACGGCAAACAAGGTGGCGTATAAATACGTAAGATATGTATTAGAAATTGCAAAAAATTATCATCGGTCAACTTAAAGGCAAGTCACAATTATCAATATTATAGTTTGGGTTTTACAGTATACGTAAATACCTACCAAATAGATGGATATAAAAAGTAAAAAAAGTATATTAAATATTGAATAACTGCAAACTTCATTACACTTTTTATTAAAAATCCGTTCAGAGATATTTTATCAACTCATAAAATTAAATGCTAAAAAAGGATTTTTAAAACATTTAAAGTTAATAATACATAAACTGTTTCAATATAAGTTTTACAAATATTTTCTTAAATTTATAAATGACTATTACAATAATTTCATATTTCATATAATAATTTACGTTGTATCCAATGCATTGGTTAGGTTTAATTAAATTCATTGAACGTATGCGGAGATTGATATTAAAGCATTTATATTGCAATTTTAATAAAATTTCATTCCATTTTATACACTAATTAGATTTATATCAGAATAATTAAATTTTGAGTCTTTTTATTACTGTATTCAAACCAAATATACCTAAGTATTATTTAAATATCTATTGTATAACTGTTATTTTCCAAAATGGCATGACCAGATTTTAAGTATTATTTTATATTATTAGTTATTATTATATTTCGTTGGTCCCAAAAGCGACCGTAGGTTTTTTATACCCCTCCTTGATAAAGGTCAACTAATAAAAAAATAATTAGCTTTCTAAAATACTATCTTTTCAATTACCTATTGGCACTCATCATTTGTCTTGTCTTCTCAACAGAATCCCAGGAGTCCTTTCTATTGATATAAGGTTTTCCTCCAGGGTCCCCCGTATCTGAAAAACAATACCATTGTAATGTCTATATCAAAATATGTCTAATTCGATCTTTAGTAAGTAATGACTTTTGTAAGTAATGATTGCTTATCGAATTGCACAACTTTATATTGCAAGATCGTCTTATGTAAGGATAGCTGACTATGCAATACGCCAACAATTTATCGTATCGTATTATGGTCTTCGTTGAATAATTTAATCATTATTAATAATAATAATTAAAGTGACGATTGTTTGTTTTTCTTTGTTAATTCTTTTGTCAAAATATTATGTAATACCTACTTTTATACACACAATATGAACTATACATGCAATATTGGCTCTTGGAATTCTATTCTGCACTAAATATAATGTCGCGAACTAAGTGGCCGAAATTTCAAATTAATTTTAAAACACACAACTTCACGATTGGTGTTTTCTTCACTGATTAATCAGATATAAATTGACATACAAAGTTTTGAAAGCAACGATCTTTTGGTGTAAGTCGGGGTAATAAACTACAAGTTCACGAATCTGAAATAAATTACATGTATTATACGAGTATAATAGTAATTTCCAATCTTATACATATATATCTATATTTATTTGAATATTTTATCTTAAATTCCGGCCATGACTGCATTACTGATGTCTATTTTTAATATAACATACAGTGTTTACACTGTAGACAGAAATTTGCCAATGTTGTCACCCATATAATTTGTCACCCAAGTCTTAAATAAAGATCATAATCTTTATTTAAGATTTAGAATGATATCAGATTTATATATGTACTTAAATTACATTATTTGTATGAAAGATCTATTTAAGTTTTTGTTGTACCTTAATATCTGTTCTAGTCAATTTTCTCTCATTCTCCTAATGTAGGTAATATATTCTTTTTTAGTTCCGTTTTATTGTTTTTGAGTAGTCTGATGCTTGGTAATAATAAAAATAGTGAATCATCGTCACATAATAATAATTGAATCTGTTTCTAAAAAAAAAAGACTTACTAGGGCTGCCAAGTCTTCTCACATAATCAGTTTCCAATGATGAATATGGACTCCCTTGATCTAGATTATCTTGGGATCCACTGTAAGAGCTGTACATCTTATAATTGGAACGCTTTTCAACAACTCGCTTAGTCGTCGTCACTGGGCTGTAGAGAGGCTCGTTACTGATCACACCCGTAGGACTGTTCACCCTATGGACAAATAGATAGATAAAATGCTATATCGATGGTCGTATGATATATATAACTAAAATATATAATATTTTGATTACATTTAACAAAAAATAATATTAAGTAATGTAAAATTCTAGGTAGTAATTTTAAACTTAATCAGAAGTGAATAAGAACGAATATAATATATCCAACGAATAGGAACATGCTTGAAAAATCTTTCATTATAGATGGAGTTTGATTATTTGTAGAAAGAATGTAAACATATTTTTTATGATATTAATGTTTAAAATGTAAATGATCTTTACTTTCGCTATTATATCTTTTTCGACGGACTCTAAACTAATTGCTTCCTAATGCAATATTAAGAAATATATGACATTATTATATAAAATATAATCTAACATACATATCAGGATTTATATCTATCATATATATCTAAGAAAATGTATCGAAGTGTAGAATATAAAAAATAAATATATCTATCATATTAAAAATATTTCCTAATAAAATGAATGCTTCATTGAATGAAAATAATAAAACGTAATCTGGTATATACCATGATATAGTAGATATAATATAGATTATATTATATTAATTTAACAGGTATAACAGTTTCTTGTGCGGCAGAAGTGATGCGTTCAGCTATGAAATTAACATGGCAATTAATTGTTGATAGCTATCAACTCGTGATAACAATCTAGATGCAGATAATAGGTACGAACACAATGTGGCAGTGTCCTGAGCAAATACCAGTACCTAAATACAATCCATTTGCACTATTGTAGAATGTTTAATAGTCTCTATAGTATCTATGTGATGTGATAAAATTGGTATGTATGTAGTTTCAATGAACGCAATAAGTGTTATTTAAAATGTAAAAAATGATATTAAAAATTGAGTTACAAAATAACGGTAGACGAAACTCTCAATTCATGTAATTTTGTCCGAGTACCAATTGAATGAAATTAATACGCTTGTAATTAAAAACAGTAATCAGTCTTTAAAAATGAGAAAATAAAGATAGTAATGAACGAAATTTAAAAATAAATTAAATGTACATAACAATTATTTAAACATTGTATATTTGTAAATATTTTGAGTAACAAAATAAATTTTAATAGTTCTCTTGTGCAAATTTTAATATAATTCGAGTGGGATGTTTAAAAGTTAATTCTTTATCCGAAAATGAATTTTATATAAAGCTTTAATAATTTATAACAAATTATACGAACAGTTAGTCAAGATATTTCGTCCTCAATTATGGTTAAATGAAAGCGTGAATTTCTAAGAAATCTAGTTATACAGATAATCCATATCTTAGAAAAACGCATAGCGTATTTTTAGTTGAATTCACGAAGACAACCATAGATAATATAATTTGTATCTTATGTAACTAGTTATAACTTTGATAGATTAATATTATAAAATTACATTGCAGATTCTTAGTACGCAATAATATTTTTGGTGAATATAAATGGTATAACATAATTATTATCACACATACCTGTTAATTGGACTTGCAGTCCGATTCAGTGGACTTAAAGGACTGTCCCTTCTTGCTAATGGGCTCGTTGTTCGTCCAATGGGACTTGTCGCTCTATACGGACTGCCGGCTCTGTAAGGGCTTGTAGATCTATTCAAATCAAGCCTGGATCCATTTCCTAGGTGTTTCGTCGTTATTGGACTTGCTGTTCTATTTCTAGGACTTTCAGAACCGTATCTAGATGTAAAGTTATCTATTTTATTAGCTCTAGATGTGGAGTATGCAGAATCAGTGACGTCATAGCTCTTCTCTTTGGTATCTGAGCTAAACGAAGATTTGTAATAATCGGTAGAGTCACGTCGCTCCTCACGACGTTCTATCGAGCTGGTATTGTGCTTCGTCGCATTTGCGTCATATAAATTGTAATGGTTCATTGGACTTTCCGATCTCAATCGAGTGACTGCAAGTATAAAATTGTTCTTAATATAGTATGTGCTTCAGTAATCCCATACTTAACGTTTATCATATAAATTAAAATATAGGTAATATTTTACATGTAAAATATAAGAAGAGGATTGTAGCCTAGTAGTTTACATCATGACAAGAAGAACAAGAGCTCGTGTATGTCTATTTATATTTTTGACTGAGTCTCGACTGCCAACCACCGATATAAAACGAAATATTGGGGAGATGGTGGTAAGTTCAGCCCCTAGCATGTTGGATTCAAATATACCCAGCGAAATGTGGCCATACCATTAGTATTACTAGTATTAAATTCACCATGTCGATAATTGAGAATGCTTTTGACTACCAAATCTACAATAATAATCGTGACTGTAAATTAAAAAAACATGTTTTAGTATTTACATTCTAAAAAACTGTTAAAAATAATAAAATGAATGCCGCGTGTATACCGTATAACATCGTCTATTAAAATCTAAGGAAGTTAATGAATCATAACACTTTCAAGTAAACGATTAACGGGCTTAGCTTTATGCTCAAGTCTATTTTGGAGGATATATACATATATAAAATGAACTTGCAAAATCAGTTCCGGGTCAGATATTCTGGGTTAAGTTCGCTCTGGTTCGATGCGCGGATTACAGAGTATAAAATTTTATATTCTATATTAATGACTGTCTGAATGTACTTAATAGATACCGCGATTCTATTATATATCTATTGTATATTTATTGTCAAATTGTAACTGAAAATATAAGACACATAATAAAAAAAATATTGCAGGATTAACAAAGTAACAACACCAAAATCAATGATTTTTAGAATTTTTGTGAGCGCTATATCATAACGGTTTCATCGCTTTGCGTAGGATTTTTACTAATGTATTATGGTACTTCACTTAATATATAAATAAATTTAAAATTTAGTATTGATTTTAGTCCAATCGATTTTCCAATAAAATACATTTATAGGTACGATATTGCGTGCTCAGTTAGTATAAAATAAAAATATACCTACAATCTTGTATTGTACTATGTACATAAGGTTGTTAAAGCGTTGGCATATGCCGTCGTAGAAAATCCAACACATAACATACCCAAATTTCGTTAGCCAAATTTGAATCCAACGTGACATGAAGCAAACTTACGACTCTTTCTCGGAATAATTTGGTTTGTTGTCGCCGCTTTTATCACCGTCAATCAGAAATACATATAAATAGTAGCGTATAACTTTTGGTTCTAAGTCGATATAGTATTCCATGATCATTATTAGGTTATAATATAGGATTTAAGATAAATACCTGGACTAGATATCCTCGCGTAAGCAGGGGAAGGACTAGAACTATCACGGGGTTTCTTTGAGCGTGAACCAACACGGAACATATGAGGCGATCCGTGTACATCATATCCATTAAAGTAAATATACAGCTGCAAAATAAATATGAATACAGTCTATTTTATGTTAGTTCTGAATTTAGCTTCAATTCGTACTCAAAGCGGAATCTCGCATGTCCCACTTGCATAGATTTTCGTGCACGGACCGATCCGCAACATTGGTTATTGATGGATTTCCAATTCCCATTATAGAAACAGTACAGCGTATTAAGGGAAAGGAAATATACCTATTTATAAAAACAAGCGGACATAAATTATATGGTTTAACTCTGCGCGTGATAATTATTTTTCAATATACATATGTCACCACTTCTTTTATACTATTTGAGATATCATAAGAATCGACTAAAATGAAGCATCTTACACTATAATAGTGAAGCAGAAAAATAATAATTTATAATAAATAGCATAACGTTTAACTGTAAGCTGAATCTTATTTTTATGGAGAGATAGCCACATACTGTAGGCCGTGTAGATAATTATGGTATGGTATATTTTATTATATGATTTCTTGTATAGCTTTCACCCAATCCTATAGGCCATAAGTAGGATTGAACAGACGAGCATCAAAAGGAATGGATGTGTGTTATTAATATGCTAGCTATTACACCATCAAAAGCGTCAACATTCCCACTCGGTTATTTCTCCTTACCCCATAAAGAAACTCTCGTAAATATAGAGATAAAGTAACAACATTATAGTAATTATTAAATTTATTAATAATCTGCAAGCAATTGCTCATATTATATATAAGATTCGAGGCCAATTTTAGAAAAGAATTTGGCATTCTCGTATCAACGTACCTTATTTACCCTATATTATTTGGTTGTATTCTATTGCAGGTGAGCAATTTTAGTAAAATATAAAGATAATAGTCAGGATTAAACAATGTGACATAAAGAGTAGCTATGAATTTTATTGAATATTTATGAAATAGTAGTTATAGTTCTTCTGTCTAAAATAATCTATTTAATCACTGTGCTTGGATATTCTCTTGAGAGATATATTAATATTTTTTTTCACCTTAATGATATTTATTATGTATATATCCTAATATACTCACTCTATGTTTTCCAGCTGCTTTCGGCATGAAGGTAGCACGGTATTTTGTTGCTGAGAGTTTCTCAAGAGCACACATGACACTGTATTTGTCGTGGACTATATCTAACTGCAGATCGCCCTTCACACCACATCCACTGGTGTCCAGCTCAAACGAGTGGGGTTTGAGTGGTTCAGCGCCTTCTAACGCACCAGAACTGAGACGGACTCCAGCTGGATCGAATACTTCGCAGGTGAATGGACCACCCTAGAATTTGAATCAACTTTTATTAAAGTATTCTATAAAGTTTTTTCTTGGAGAATAATATACAATAGCAGTTAATTTTATTACAAAAGATATCTATAGAGTACAGTAAAGGAGAGTTTATGGATTGAAGAATTAGTAAAAATAAAATTTCTCTTATAGACTGGATTTGTCCTGACATATTGACTAATGTATCATAAAAAATATTCTAAATGACTGTCGCAAAAACATGAATATTGAATGTATATTATTACGTAGTACTCAATACTACAGGAATTCTTTATTTGTATTTTAGAAGATCCGATTCAATTACTATGTAAATAGTGTTGTTTGTGAAGTGTATTTATGAAGGTAAATATAGTATAACATCATATATGAGTCTGTAAAAAATAGTCATAAATACGAGTATATAGTCAAAATATTTTTATTTGCTAGGGCAAAATATGCCGATTTATAATAAATAAATAAACTTCTTATAAACCTCTTTTGTGTACCTGTATATGCTCGCCTTTGTAAGTGATCGCTATCGTCCATACTCCAGCTTCGTCAGGTTGGAAGGTGGCACTGGAGGCGGTGGTGCCTGGTGCTGAAGGCGGTGGATGTCTGGCCTGCAGTGGTACAGCGCGGCCACTCGGGGAGTGGGCTGTTACATCAATGTCCTCCCTCCTTGGTGCTCCTATATTTAAATTACTGTTATATTAATAAAGACCAGTGCTAGTAATTAGCATAACCGTTATATATACAACTTAGAGCTTTAAAACAACCATCATGTATATATTTGTTAAATTGACACCTACTCGATGGTAACATATTTCATTACACAATATAAACATTATAAAAAGTACCTTACTTTTGGATGCTTCTGTAACTTTCTATTTTTTTGATATTGGTCATTATTATCTAATATATTATATAATATTATTATTAATATATTATAATATTATTATATTAATATATATATCTTTACGTTAGGATCACATAAATATTGTACTATATAGTATAGGGGGTTATTATTTATATATATATGTATAACTCAAAGGTGACTGACATAGTGATCTATCAACGCACAGCCCAAACCACTGGACGGACCGAGGGACTGAAATTTGGCATGCAGGTAGATGTTATGACGTAGGCATCCGCTGAGAAAGGATTTTGATTAATTCTTGAATAATCCCAAGGGGATAAAATAGGGGATGAAATTTTGTATGGAACTTTGTCAATTTTAAACCAATCGGGCTGAGACTTTACATGCATAAATCTACTATGACGTAGGCATCCCCTAAGAAAGGATTTTGATAAATTCCACCCCTAAGAGGATAAATTAAAGCGAGCGAAGCCGCGGGCAAAACCTAGTATTAGAAAATTCTTATAATGAAATATTATATTCTGTAACATCTGTATATTATCAAGATCTTTGTTTAGATATATTTATTAATTAAAAAAAATTATAATTACCAGTAGCACTGACTAGAACTTCCACGATGCTCCCAGCGGCACAGGGCGCCATACCCGGCGGTGGAACCATGACCAGCCTTGGTAGCACTCTAAAGAAATATCTACCATCCACTCTACAATGAAAACAATAACAATAAGAACACAATCTGTAATCACATATCCTGGGTTAAATTCTGGTCGACATCTAAATCTTTGGCTCAATTTAAATTTCCGGACAACTTTCCGGTGATAAATACCGCTAACAAAGATAAATGCGTGGGACGGTAAGGTCGTCCCTTTCGCACTGGATTCGAATCGAATAGGCTTACAATAGTATAAACAGAGAAATCGAGTGTTACGTTCAATATTCCATTTGCTAGCAGTGAACATAATTATTTATATAAATATTGCACTTAGATCTCTTCGCAATTCTTGCTTTTAGTATGATCATATTTATTAAAATATCTATAACTTCATAGGAAATCTTTATATTTGTTGTTATTTTAACTTTATTTCTAATAAACACAAATATTCAGTTACCTAAACACACAACAAAAACTAGAGTCTAGACATTTGTAATTCTGCAATGGTCCCTTATATGACTTAAGTTTATAGAAAGTTGCTTGTAAATATCTAGCCATGAGAACGGAAAATATCTGGACTGGCTTCGCATGTGTTATAATATTATATTACGAAATATACGCTATCGTAGATAGTAGATTATTTTTTAGTCTGCATCAGTGTGTCTGCAGAATTACGTTCATACAGAATAGTTTAATATCTGATTCTACTGGGAAATAGGCGTGAAACAGACCAACAAAGAGAATAGTGAAACTCACCTAATGTCATCAACAGTGAGTACTATCTCGTGCATGCCGGCGTGCTCCGGCACGAACTCTCCAGCCCCTCGGGGGTTCAATTTCAATCGAGACTCTTGTTCTAACGGGTTAACGATCGACACTTTTACGTCCGTTATTGAGAGCTCGTTCGATATGGACTCGACCCTTATGTATGTCTGTAAAAATAAAATTACTGGCAACTCACATATATACACATATGTGTATGTGTGTTTTTGTCTGACAATGAGAAATTCCCCTACATTGCAGAGAATACAGACGAAAGTCGTTTTCGTCAAAGAGGACTGATAGCTCAACAGCTAAGGCCAACGCCTTCAATCCCTTCATAAAAGTCTTTCCGCGTATTTGGAGTACCCTATGCACTCGCCCACTATAATTTATCCGATTCTTTTTTATTGAAATGACAATCAATTAATATAAATAAATAAATAAACAAGCTGTTGATTTACCTAATGGTACACAGCAATCGTCGCCTAAATTCAAAAAATAATGTCCGTAACATTATGACATTATGTAACATCGGTGATACTCCCTACACATTGTCTTTCCGGAGGATTTAGATGTCATGCCTACGTATCCTGTAATTTAGCTGCCATACCTTACCCTTCCACCGAAACATAGGTTGGGAATTAAACTGTTTAACGACAGACAAGTGGAAATAGCAGAGTGAAATAAATAAAAATACGTTAACTTATCGTTGTTGTTTGCCCTGGAATTGTACAGAACTAGTGTGTAGTATTTTGCAGTAATATTGCATGAGGTTGGAGTTTCTATATACTTATAAAAGTAATATCCTTTTATTATACTTTTGTGAAGTAACAATGAGTGTGTTGTTGTATTCAACTTTAGAGAATCAGGATAGTGCTCTGATAGCGAAAGAATGGCATATATATGTATTAGAATATGTGCGCTATGTGAATATGTGTGTTAGCGGCTTAGAATATGTGGTGATTTTAATGGTATGATTTATATAAGCGACTACGACCACTTTTCAGAAGTTATCGAGGTGATACGCCATCTTGTTTAACATTCTAAGTGGTAGGTTAATTTGTAAGGGATTATGCTATGGATCACCATAGTACAATCTCTCACAAATTGGTTACAAAGCACATAAGTATCAACTTTTGTGCCTTGTAACAATATTGTTAAGAGATATTTAACCGTTTTTGTTTAAATATTATGTATGTGTAATATAAATATAGTTTTAATAGTCTATATATAGTAGTTTTTAATAATATTTTTAATTGGTTTTAATTTTATTTTTTATAGATGCAATATGTAAAGCACTTAAATGTCCGTAATTCTTAATAATATTAACATAACATACACAGTAGTATAAAGTATTTATATATTAGAATTCTCTACTATACGATACAATCAGATTAAAACTTACCTCTTCTCCAACTCTCCCAGATGTAGAATCGAGAGCAACTCGTAGCATATCATGCACCGGTGGTCTTGGTGATACATTTCGGAATTGAGTAGCCCACGTCATTACTCCCAAGTGTTCGGTTTCATTCTGACTCATATCCTTAGCAGATAATACTGGTTGTACTCCTAAAACAATATCAAAGTCAGAATTAGTTTATTTCAAGCATTCGACTCCTGTTTTACAGCAAATGAACAGCTGAAATAGGGGAACTAAAGTATTCACGCAGACATCTTGTATAAAGTCCACGTTGGTAAAAAGTTTAATTTGTTAGTTAAAATAAAATCTAAATATTACTAACCTATTTTCTTAGCTGCATCAATAGCTTGCTGGTTGTTTTCTTCCCACCGAGCGGGATCACGTCTCAATCTGTTCGGCGGCAGCGCAGGTCCACCCATAGATCTAACCAGTTCATTCGCCACTCGCCCATCATTCCAATCAGTCTAATGAATAAATGAAGCAATAATAATAATAAATATTCATGTATATTTGATTAAATTATAAACATAATTTATTTTATGAATAGAAATATGAGTAAGCGAAAATCTAAATATTACTATACGACGAGAACTTACGAGTTGACACGGATACATTGTCTCTGTGATTTTATTCTGTTTATCAGTAAATATGTCGAAATTTAATATCGAATCGGCCGTTGGCGATTTATTAAAGAAAGTGTCAGCATTGACAACTAAAATTACTTTTCAAACTACGCAAATTGAAACCCAAAACAAGAAAATTGAAGATCAACAACAGATTTTAAATAATTGTTTTGATACAATTAGTGAACAAACGGAGGTAATACGAAAATTATATGCAAAGATTGATAACTTAGAAAAATCTGTGAGTATCGGAAAGAGCAAGACAGATAATCCCGTCGAGATAGTTTCTTTGGAGAGTGCAACAGAGAAGCCTATAGTTGGCGAAGTTACTACCGTATCCAACACTACTGTGACGGAACGCGCAATACGGGCGGCTGAGCGATCATCTAAGCGTGGAACTACATTGCATAGGCGGCAGCGTGTAAATGCTCATGTGAACTCGAATATAATTTTTGAAGAAAAATTGAACGATAATGAGACCCATAAATCTAATGAAAATGAGGGTCCGAAATATAATTGTAATAGCAGTTCTAATGATGGCAGGTCTGTTCACTTGAAGGCAATCCAGAGAGGAGGAAATACCAATATCTCTAAATTCCAGGCAATAGAAAAGAAGAAATTTCTACATGTATGGTCACTTCATCCTGATACATCGGCCGACGCCATTACAGAACATGTTTCCGAAATATGTGGCACAAAGGATCTAAAGATTGAAAAAATTGTTCCCAAAACTAAAAGAGACTATGCGTCATTTATGATTGGTGTTCCAGAATCACTCTTTGGAAAACTAAATAATGAGAAGAGTTGGCCACTAAACACTCAATTTAATGAATGGGTGTGGTTTCGAAACTACCGTAAACCAGGTAAAACCCTTAGTTAAAACTGATGAGATATTCTCGATTTTTTACCAGAATGTACGTGGCCTTCGGACGAAATTGAATACATTTTACAATAATATATCAACTTCAACTTGTGATCTATTTGCTATTACTGAAACGGGTCTTAATAATTCGATACATGATGGAGAAATAGTACCACCTGTGTTTACCATATTGCGCTGTGATCGAGTGGACGGGCGTAAGCAAGGAGGTGTTTTGTTAGCGGCTTCGTCTCGCTTAGAATTAAATCGCATTACAATCGACAATGTGGACTCCTCCTTATTTGAAATAATTTGTGCAACCGTACACTCTCGTAATAACTGTATGTTATTGGTTTGTGTGGTTTATATACCCCCAAAATGTGATGTACGCGAATATATACGTTTATTCTTTATTATTGAAAATATTTGTGTCAAGTATAGTAATGTTTTAGTTATAGGTGATTTTAATATGCCTTCTACTACAGTGGAAGTACAGAGTTATTTTGAATACATGAATGCCTTCTGTGGATTTCGGCAGGTAAATAATATATATAATATTAATGGTCGTACTTTAGATTTAGTGCTAACGACGCTGTTAGAAAATGATTTAGATGTACAATTGTCCAGTGAGCCAGTAGTTGATATTGACACTCACCATCCGCCGTTAATATGCAACGTAAAATGGCGGCGCGTGTTTGGGCCTATTGGGGTTGATCAGGACGTACCGCGAGTCCATCAGCTTAGGGATGATTCGACAAAGAAATATTTAAAATGGAATTTCTATAAAGCTAATTTCTTTGAGTTGTATAATAATTTGTGTTCGATGGATTGGACAACATTGTATCAAATTCGGAACCCACAAATAGCAGTATCTTATTTTTACAATGAAATATCAAAAATTATAGACTACTCTGTTCCTAGAAAAACTAAAAAATTTGGTAAAAATGAAACGAGATTTTATTATCCGGAGTGGTATACTCACGAAATTATAAGTGATATTAAACTAAAATGGAAATATCATAAATTATATAAAAAATCAGGTTTACATTGTGACTACCTGGTGTTTTCTCGATATCGATCGCAAATAAAAGATAAAATAGAGTTAGCATATGAATTTTACCAACAGAAGCTACAATTAAATTTTAAAAATGATCCCAAATCCTTTTGGGGCTTTATAAAATCCAAACACTCAAATCATAATTGTACTAAAATAATAAAAGATGGTCAAATTGTAAGTGACGTGGACACCGCGGAGTGTTTTGCATCCTATTTTAAGTCGGTATACAGCCCCAACCGGCCGAGATTGGATCCTCAGCAAGCTGAACGTGCAGCGGCAGCAGCGGGCGCCGACATGAGCTCGCACCGAGTTCATATCAGCCGACTGACATTATGCGAAGTGCGAACAGCTCTGCGGCGCCTAAAGCCCAAGCAGTCCATGGGCCCTGATGGTATTCCACCATTTATCGTTAAAGACTGTAGAATATCAATGGAGAGCCCTTTACTGCACATATTTAATTTGTGTTTACAGGAAGAATATTATCCAAATGAGTGGAAAATTACTAAAGTAACACCAGTCCCTAAAGGAAATACCAGTACGGAAGTAAGTGGATACCGGCCAGTGGCGGTGCTGTCTGCTTTTGCGAAGGTATTTGAATCGGTGCTATATAAAAGTATTTATTCACAAGTACGATCGCAGTTGACGGATATCCAGCATGGTTTCCGGGAAGGTCGAGGTACGGGGAGTAATTTGTTGTCAATGGTATCATATCTGGCACCAGTTATCGATTCTGGTGGACAAGTAGATGCTGCATACTTTGATTTCCAGAAGGCCTTCGACACCGTCGATAATGACGTGTTGATGACCAAGTTTGCTGCAATGGGATTCACACCCCATTTGCTAAATTTTTTTGCGAGCTACCTGGGTGAACGCATGCAGTACGTAAATTATGCGGGGTATGACTCTAGTCCATATTATACGTTTTCAGTCATAGGGCAAGGTAGTAATTTGGGTCCATTAGAGTTCATCATAATGATTAATGATCTCCCAAGTGTTGTGCAAGAGGCAAAGTGTTTACTTTTCGCTGACGACCTTAAGTTGTATTTGTCGATTGCGGATATTTCTGATTGCGTACGGTTGCAACAAGATATTGATAGGGTAGTTCAGTGGAGTAAGACAAACGGACTGCGTTTCAATATAGCTAAATGTAGTTTAATGACATACAGTAAAGTAAGGTCTCCACTTCAGCATCAATACATGGTAGATGATAATCCATTAATACGCTTGAGTCAAGTCCGGGACCTGGGCCTTGTAATGGTGTCTGATCTATCATTTAGTAAACATGTTACGGATATATGTGGAAAGTCTTACCGTAATTTAGGTTTTTTGTTGAGACAGTGTAAGGATTTTAATAATACATTAGTTGTCAAAATACTATACAATTCGCTCGTACGATGTCATCTCGAAACGAACGCTATAATATGGAATCCACATGAGACTAAATATAGCCATATGATCGAAAAACTACAAAATAAATTCACTCGATTTTTATACTTTAAGGAATACGGTATTTATCCTTACTACCCCATGATGTATCCGAGTTTGTTTGTAATGGGCATGGTTGGGTATAATAAATTAGCGGTGAGAAGAGATGTCTCTCTCGTAAAATATGTTGTGAGTGTGCTGCGAGGGTGGGTGCATCACCCAGAAATATTAGAGCAAATTCAGCTATGGGTACCCAATGGTTACGTGGGCGCGCGCCGTCATCCCGTTTTATTCAGTATTCCGGTAGCCAGGACCAATTTACTAAAATATTCACCTGTAACCCGTGCTTTAGAGATACTGAACAATATCAGAAATGATATTGATATTTTTGATTGTAGTCTGCCGAAGATCACAGAAGCCATTCAAAAGTATCTAGAATTTTTATAATGTTTATATTATGTAATAAAATATGTTATGTTATAAATTGATGTATATATAAATGTATACTGTACTAAGTTGCGACACCGATTTGGTTATACTGTAATGGTGTTGTAATATTGAAATGAATAAATAAATAAAATAAATAAATAAAATAAAAATTCGAGTACGTAATAAATGGTAACACTCCGTTTTTATTCCCAGAATGTCAAAGATGGACCTCGTCAGAAAACTTATAATCCATACATATTTTGAAAGTATTGCAGTAATATCAATATCTGTAATATACAGATACTGGTTTCTGTACATTACAGATATTAAAAAAAAGGAGTAACAGAAGCCCAACTATATTTTTTGTACAGAATATGTATTTAAGTAAGGATACACAAAAAGATTTAAGATATTACTTGAAAAAATATTACATGTGAAGTAATTACGATTCGCTAGTGTATAATAAATTTAACCGAGAAGGAAGAAATTATAATAATAACCCTACATACGCCGAGTAATGTGAGTAATACTCTGTAATAGACTATTCTTTCTATTTCTACTAACATATTTGAGTTATTACATAATTGCTAATATCGTTGTATCTACTGATATCGTAGGTATATTCTCTGACTCTTAAATTACGAATTAACTTGTGATATGGATTAGTGCTCTTGCAATACCCTAATATCGAATTAATTGCACATTAATTAAGTTTGCGACATTATTATTAATTTACATACGTTACATGTGAGCCTATTACATGTTAGTGGGTATATCAATAGTCATATCATGAGAATAAATTACAAAGTTTAATGTATTTCCGTTATCATGACAACTTGTTATCATCCTACAGGTAGGTATGAATTTCTCTCATCACGTAGATGATTTATGTTGATGCCTAATTGGAAGAAAACTCTTTGGAGATTTTTGTAGTGATGGGCGAAATTTGGTGGGAGATTTTCAAAAGTAAAAGATACAAAATTTAATGATTATCATATTTTACTAAATTTATTTAAGAAATGTTTAAGAAACGTTATATAAGGATCGATAATGTTATATATATGAAGAAATGGTTTTTCATGAAATATAGTGTTCAGATCACTGTATCTCAATCATTATTTGTTTATTAATTTAATTAATATTCTTATTACACGAACGCAGATAAGGGCAAGAACAACGTATATATAATTATTGTAAATAACATATTTTATACTCACCGTGAAGTTCGTTATACCCCTTTCAATCCGCGAGTTGACGAAGTCTAAGGTGGTTCGATAGCCAGCAGAACCAGGTTTCATGAAGTATGAAAGATAAGTCATGCCAGAAAGCTCATCCAGCCATGGCGAGGCAAGGTATTCCGGTTCCAATACCATCGGGACATCAAATTCTCGGTGAGCCAATTTCATAGCTCGGCGGCAATTCTCTACGGCTTCATGACGATCTGAATGGTTAGAAATTATTAGTTATAAAATATGCCTTGGACTTTCTCGGTGGTTTTGCACTTGAGCACACCGTCTTACTTTCAAATGGGCGTGGGTTCGATGCCTCGCACGTTGCAAACATTTCTGTACATTCACGGGTATGATTGTATGTTTTTTAATCGCGTTTAAATTTAACTAAAGTGTAAATATCAATTTTTCAAATAATGTTACCACCTGTAGCTCGATTGTGCTGTACCTACGATATCGATTTGTTGAATTGTATTTTTTTATTTAGGCTTAGTTTTAAAGCTTTCTAGTAGTTGCAACGACATTTTATAAATGTATGTACGTAGTACACTAGTGTTTTTGTAACTGTCTTTGTATTAAACAGAAAAAATCATTTTTGTAGTTTTCGTAAATATGTATACCTAGTAGTTTTTACCGTATTAAGCTACAAACTAAAAATTTATACTATACTATTAAGCTACAAACTAAAAATGTATATTTATACTATCGCGTTTTTTCAATAAATGAACAGAATGAACAAACATCGCAAAATACACTGTGAGGTCATACTAGCTCGTCCATCGCTATTCCTAAGAGCAAAGGTATTATGTCCTCGTGGCCATTTGGACGTAGCTTGCAAAGTAAGCTGTTTGTAGGCAGAAATATGTGTCACAAGAGTGCCGAAGCTGGCTACTTTGTGTCTTCTTCTGGTATGAACATAAAGTAGCAATATTGTTACATTGTTGAAGAATTACTCCCACTTTAAAAGATGTAATGGGGTGTTAATCCGTCACGTGATGGTAATTGCAATTCACGTTCAATTGTACCTAGTACAGATTCAGATCTAAAATATAAGTTAGGTAAAATAAGAAAAAATGTCTTCCTCTTCTTTCTATATTTAAATATAGTATATGTTATATGGAAATATTACATATAACTAATTTAATAAGAAATATAATTATCAAATTTAGTCCAGTGTTAGTTAAAACTTTATTTTTATCACAAGAGATTGAAAATGGGTAGATAGAATAGAATAGAATAGAAAATCATTTATTCAAATAAACTTAATTTAAGCACTTTTGAATAGTCATAACAATTTGTTTTTTATCTACCACTCGTTCGGAAAGCTGTCTCATCACAAGAAGAACGAGCAAGAAACTTATGTGTTGCTCTTTTAAATAATCCTTGTAAGTTTACATTTACAAGTCGAAACGTGTGAATACAAACTAACAACAAGCACTAATTTTTGGGTCAAATATAAATATGCAATAAGATTAAATCAGTCGTAGTGATAAGAGCAGACCAGTCCCTACAAGCAGCACTCGTTTCACGAGTATGACGGATGAGCCAGCCATCACTGCGCTCGACCATATTTTAGGGAGCCCAATGACCCGGCCCACCACGCCGCCACATGTCTGGACATTTTAGTGAGCATGACTACTCATTCCACACGACCACGTCACAGCTACAAAAATCACTATATGGTAGTTACAGTATTCGCACTTTACATAAGGATGCATGCGGCAATCAATACAAAAGCCGCTACGCTATCATATATCAAGAAAGCAGTATGAAAATTAAAATTATAACGTTATAACGTTAACTATAACGTTATAAAATAATATATACCTTTATATATCATTAGTAACGTACTGATTAAGGCGATTTTTATTACACTTGTATTGATTATTTTCGTAGGAATTTTCAGAAATTTATGCGATGTCGATTCCTATATCTATATAATTAAAGAGGCCTACTCCTTTTCTTAATTAAAATCATTTAAGCTACTGCATGACAAATCGCTCAATAATTTTTTTATTTGTATACAGATTTACATAATTGTTATTAATATCTAAAAACCAATTCCAATAGCGTGTGATGAATCACATATACCTAATCTGTCATAACTTTATTTATGGCTAATATGTATGTCTTTACGAAACAAAACAGAAAGTAAAAGTGCTAAACAAGTATATGGACATACGAGTAGTGTGCCAGTTTAGCGTTTTTCTTATAGACGCTAGTGTATCAATAAAAACAACGAGGAAATTGATATAATGGAACTATCTATCACGCGGCTTGACATCTTACGGGATAATGAATAAACTACGAGTATCTCGGCGTTTCATCTCGTTACTACTTTCGAAATTAAGATAATTACTCGCATAATTACAGCTTTATTATTAGTAAAATTTTGTTTTATGTGCTGAAACCTAGATTTTTATTCAGGTATAACAGCATTTCTTTATTGTATTTAGTACCATAACTATATGATCTCGAACTTATATTTCTTAAAACTATGTAATGTCGACTCATTGAGTTAAGTTTTTTGAGTAATATGAGAAAGGTATAATTAAGTAATTTCTAAGATTATTTTTTTATTATAATTATTCTAAGTTTACATATATTTTAGCAGAATGTACTAAAGTAATAAGACTCATTTTTATTTTAATAGTCTTACTATTTGTTTAATAATATCTTATGACAATTCATATTCAATTTATATTCACACGCTGAGTATCTCAAGGATATCTAATAACTAGAATACTCAATAATAATAACAATAACCCTGGACAATTCACACTGCGTCACCAAGTCCCAAGCTAAGTACTACTTTTTTATGTGTACTAGACAACTTCTGTCAGTTGTCCATACTTAAATATATATTTTTGTAAATACATAAATGCCTACATAGAAAATATTGAGAACAATACAATACATTTGCATCGTGCGAGGAATCGCATCCGCATTTATCAGAAGCTGTCAGGCCATTGTTGTCTTATTATTATTAATATTATAAACCCAAAAGTTTGTGAATATGAATGGATGTTTGTTACTCTTTCACGCAAAAACTACTGAACGGATTTTGATAAAACTTTATAGTAACATAGCTTGTACATCAAAATGACATGGCTATAAATTTCACGTGGGTGAAACCACGGGCACAACTGGTACATACATAAGAATCGGAGAATGATACTTACTCAGCTCCCGCCAGTGAGGGAACACACCAGGCTTACAATAGTCCAGTAGTGCTGACAGCAGTACACCACTGTTCCAATCGGTGGTTAGATTGTTGACACGGCATTCTGGCAGAGCAGATTGTAGCCATGACAACATTAGTTTTCTGCAAAAAAGATTCGCAAATTAATAAGTTAATTGATAATAAAGAGGAAGAAGATTGTCAAGAAGAAACACAATACCTACATACAAAGAAGGCCAAGACTAAAACTTTGTTCAAACCAAATGCACTGTTTTAGGTAGGTACATGTTTATGCGAAGAAACATGACATTTTGTACAAATCATTGTTAAAGACGAATAGTCCACTGCTCCACCTCAATATAAAACATAAATTCCAGATTTTTTGCAAAAATACATAATACATAAAAAAATGTTTAAATTTAATGAGGTCGTTCCAGCACTAAACAATTTTTACTCAAGACTAATTGACGAATTCAGTCCAAAGTAACAGTATTATAGTTTATAAACATCGTAATGTCTTTAGATTACAGTAACTAATTCTTTATCATTATTTCTATTTAAGACTTGTAACAATGAATATGAAATATAAATAATTTTGCAGTATTAAAAATATACTAAATATATGAACAAAGTGTAGTTCATTCGTGTCTATTTCTTTTGTGGTCTTCTCTTTCATCCTTCAACATTTTTGTTTGTCATTCCCACATTATTTTAATTATGATAAATGTCGCGCTATAAATACTCTCATCGGTACTAATGATCAAGGTAACACGAGGAAAATGACGTAAGTGCATAGGGTCGCGCGTGGGCCAGCCCCCGCACATTACTCGTGCCCTGTTTTACTTCGGTAGATGTAAGTAGTCCATACGCGAAATTATTACTGAAATATTATTTAACCCACTTAAAAAAGAGACGATTCTGTGTTTGATCGCTATTTATGTTGATCGATATCTCTGTCAATTGTGGACTGATATTCAAAATAGATTTTGCTTCGTAACGTCCTCTTGAGGTGATTTCCTATCAACAAATCATGATCTGTTCATGTAATTCCAGAATAATTGAGGTAAATCATCGTATATTATAGGAACGTATTATGTGTTTGAGCTTTCTAATAGTTCAATTGTATAGATATATTACTTGTCAATGTATATGTATACATTAATAACAATTGAAGTAGGTTTTTTCGTGGCCTTAACACACCTATAATATAACAAACAATGCAGACCAAAAATATACATTATATGATATGATTATCTTCTCCAGTTATAAACAAATTTTGATTATTCTCGTTGGAAATGATAAACGGTACACTATATAAAACTAATTAATTATTAAAGGTGGGGTATTGCGAAACAAAATCTTGAATTATATGCAGCTTTGCAAAATAATGATTAAGATTAAACGATATACTGTCTTAGGATGAAGCATTCTAAAAAGAATAAAATAATCTTTTAATTAAAGGTATTATTTATATGACTTTAATTGTTTTCAACGTATTCACTGAAGTGCATCCTTGCTTTGTGAGAACTTGATGAGATCATTTAAGACAGATACATACTCATAAGTAAGGACTTTACGTAAGATATTTATATAGCTATAATGAATTGTAATAAAGTGTTTCATGGAGGTAAGTTGTGGTCATGATTTACGTAGTTATCGTAATTTGTCTAACCTCACTTACTGTTGCGTAATTTACAAAATTTGTTTAAAGATATCCTATGTGGTAATCTAATAACTGTATCAAATTTTATTTAAATCCATTAAATCGTTTAAGCAATACTGTGTAACAGACACCCAAACAGTTTAATACCTAAACATCCAAAGATATTGAGAAACTTTTACATTTATATTATTACCTTATATTTTTATGATTTAGGTACCAAACTGTTCGTACCAAAACCATAAATATAAAAATGTTGCATGTAGTAACAAAATAAAGGCACTAAATGATAGCAGATTCATCCGAGAGCCAACTAAACAGTTTAGGTTATATTATGTAATTAGAATGGCAAACAAACTGACGGTCCATCTGATGGTAAGTAGTAACCATCGCTTACAGGGGGGAAGGGGATTGTTAGTAATGTGGACTCATGAACCCATTACTAGTAATGTAACATGTCAGGTTGACCTCCACGCGGTTCCCCCTGGAAACCATCATGATAAATTCCTGGTGAATTTGTCATAGCTGACCTGACCTCATGCTCATCTTATCAACCTCCACTGGTGCCCCGCCAGCGTAAACCGTTAGCGCAGGTGGGACTACCATCCCATTATCATCCATAAAAAAAAAACCATCGCTTACATGCATGAACAGACCTACGGACATCACGTTATCACCTGTGATATTACTCATGTGTTGCCATTACACAGGACTAGGATGTCATACCTTTTATTCTGTAATTTCACTGATTAACCTTATATAGAACCTAAACACAGGTTAAACGACGCTGTTACGCGACTGAAATAGGTGAGACCTACCTCTGGTAAAGTGTCATAATTAGATAGATAGAAGGCTATTTGAAGTTATGAGTTAAAGACAAGATCAAATTGATAAATAAAGAATAATTCCTGACACTAACTGCTTAATTAAGGCACAGCCATACATCTGCGTCTATAATCGTGTGAGTTCCATGATATACCTTCTATTTTCTACCTAAGCCGGTATCTAGGTATATACAGGATTTCTGGAAATTTCCACGGAACTAGTACAAAAGAGGTTCCCGTGAACATAGCCGTGGGAAACGGTTGGTGTAGTGTAGAATGACGTATACTCAGACTTAGTTAAGCTACATTTGCGGCTAGGTGAATAGACGTGTATGAAAACGGCTAAAGTTAAGCCATTCCATTTCCACACTAATAAGTTACAATCACCGGTCACTATCACAAAGTAATATGTATGTCATAAATATTATGTATTTTATAACAGACTAGTGGTGTCTACGTCTTTCTACGCATGTACATTTGAAAATCGCCAGCTATTAATGGTGCTCAAATGACAATACTGAGAATGTAATGCCAATGCCAATAATGCAATAAATTAATTTAATTTTAGATTAATACACCTTATTAGAGATGTTCACAAAATTTATTATTATAACTTTTGGTGGGTATTTTTTCAATCTATATGTTCACAATCATTTAATAACATATTCTGCGAAAATATCATTGTAATTCCTATTGAAAGTGTAATAATAACAAAAAAGATATATTATTTTTTACTGTAACTTGCCATTATAAGCAAATGGCCCACTAGATGGAAAATGGTAACACGGACAGAACGAATCCATCAATATCCCAAGTCTTGTTCTTTCTAAACACTAAATTGTCTTCTTACCAAACTTTTTTTTTAATTTGGAAATGAGTATTTAATAATATTGTGTCAATGGCCGAATATCCTTCACGTGTTTGTTTTACAAAGAATGTTTGTTTAGGGTCATTCTTTGTTCTAACTATTTACGGGCACTGTTCAATTCAATAATAACTGAGTAAGACAATATTTTTAAAAAGCTGTTGTTTAAATTCCTTTGTATTTTTTAGTATAAATTATATGACACCGTTCTGAAAAATATGATAATTCACGCACTATGTAATTAAGTTGATATGTAGGATGACAGAAATATCGATATTCGATCCGATACAGAAAACAATATGTGCTTTAAATCCATATACGAGTACAGGAAAGACAAAAAGGATTGACAAAAATTTATTTACTAATCATAAACGTATTAGGTCATTATCTATTTATATGCATCATTTATATACGAAGAATAAGGTTCAAATTAGTTTGTATACATATTTGTAGTTTCTAGTGGTCGACGGTGTATACACAGGCCTACGCAAGAAGTTATCTACGTTATTTTGTTTACCTTTGCACTTATCGAGGTGTTTTCATTTATCTGCAAACCTAACAAATGTAGTCAAATAGCATTGAATTCATCTAGCATTTATTATATGATTGTAAGACTTCTTGCTGTTTTTATTAAACATTATTTTAATTAGTAATAAACTCGTACATTTATACTAGCACTCATATATAAAGATGCAAAGCCATTGATAGAAATACTTTTTTTTTTGTAAATACTTAAAATACTTAGGAAGTAGCCAAAACTAATAGAAACAATCTTACTCATGAATACCAATATTTATATAGTACGAAGAATCCGCAACGATCGGAAGTAAGGCGTTCTGCTAAACCACTTGACTATTGAGGCTATCATTTAGGTGTATATTGACATATCGGTGTGAAGTCGTCTGTAATGTTGTCCTTTGCATATTTTCTGATCGACCTTTCCTCGTCTTATAAACACATCTAATTATAATATAAAGCAATCAATGCTTCTATAATATACATACTAATTGATATACTTATACTACAATATACTTTATAATTGTCTTGGAATTAATTCTATCGGCAGGATGAAAATGTGTGTTTGTCTATCAGCAAGTTCATATATATAGGTACTGAAAGTGATGTAGCATTAAATAGGAAAAATATGTGCTGAGTGGCACACTAGTTTTACTCAGATCAGATAAGAGTCCATCGTCACTCACAAAAATAGATGTTTCTGTAATTGAAATAAGTTTATTTCAATTACAGAAACATCTATTTTTGCTGTCAATACTTTTTGGAAAATAATTAATATTACTAATATTATAAACGCGAAAGTTTGTATGTACGGAAGGATTGATACTTTTTCACGCAAAAACTACTAAATGGATTTTAATGAACCTTTACAATAATACAGTTTATACATCAGAATAACACAATAAATTTCATATGGGTGAAACCGCGGACACAGCTAGTGTAATATTACTGTGAGAAACATAGTTTGATACTGAATGAAATGAAACCCACGTTTTACGGTATAATCACGTATCAAAGTTCCATGACATGCCGAATTTGTTCAATGTTCACTGTTTATGAACTACAGAATATCAATTTTACTAGCTTAAATAGCCGTAATTTATTTTCCTAAAAAATATATTCGCAGATACTTATAAGATCATTACATAAGTTGCAGACACTTTTGTCTAGGTAATGTTAGGTGCAAATTTAACCGCGAGAACGGCTGCACCCGCGCAAGCGTGTATCGCTAATTGGTCTAATACGAAATGTGCCACTCGTAAGATATATTTTACCAAGGTACATTTTCTAAAAAGTCGTCTGCGACAGTACCTTGTTGATGACATATACCAGAGTAATTACAGGATTCAAGGGCATGACACCTTAATTATCAAGATTAGCAATAGTACTATGTATTACTAATCTCATACTATCACGGATGTAACAAGATGATGTCGTTTGGATTGTGTTCATTTATATAGACGACCAATGCTAATTTTCATTAGGTGGGCCGCAACTTGTTTGTCATTACTGTAAAAAAAAATCAGTTTTCAACGCAGTAGCTACTTGCGAGTCTCATATTGAAATGTTTATACTAAATAAAAAATATGTTAAATACGATATACCTAGTGACTTGTTATCGTGATCAAATAAGCATAGATAAATTCTGATCATGTTTTAAATAAACAGCTTGCTTAAGTCACGAAATAGGTATAATGTTTATGGTATTCGATATACGGCCGGTACCTGATACTTTATATTTTATGTTACTATCACAATAGTAACTACAATATTGCCTGTTGGGAACGATAAATGATATTATTTAAATGATTTACTATGTATCTTTTCCCATATTAGGCTGACTAATTGGAAATTTCACTCGGCATATTATAATACTTTGGCAAAATTATGGTTAAATATAATTCGACAAAGTAATCATATTTTTGCTTCCAATATAAGTAATCACATTTTCGCTTATATAAATTATCCAATATAAATATTTTCACAAAGAATAGTTCCGAATAAATATATAAATGAAAGAAAACAATCCACGGATCTTAACATATGGTCACAATGTTTAAGGTAAGACTATACAAACTATATTTTTTTCTATGACAATTATTCGACGTTAACCTCATAGTAGGGATGCAGAACTTGATATCTGGTTATTAGGAATCCAATTAACTACTCAAATTAGAGTAATAAGGTTGTAATTTCATTATAAAAATAAATTAGGTTTATAATAACTTCTGACTGCTAATAAAATATTGGATTTCATGTTTATAAAGATCTAAAGACTAATTAGTTTTTAATATTTTTAATACTAATTCTTTTGTTTGATTAACTTAATCTTTTATGTGATCATGATCACGAACTGAATATATTGTCTTTCTAGCATATTAATTATCATTTCTAATGGTTTGTTAAAGAATATGGCACTTTGTTCTTAGTTCACCTACGTTTATTTATAGGCATCAAGTTATTTTATTTAATTCCGTCTTCTATTTCCTTAACATAAAATTTAATGTTTATACTCACCTCGGAGGGAATTTACTTCTACCGATTTGGTATCGAACGATTAGCGACCAAATTAATCCTAATATGAGTTTAAGGTTGCCGTTCACGATGTCCACGTTACCTGTAATAAATTGAGAATTGTTAACAAGCTAAAATATAAGCCATATTGACAAAAATATAGCAAATAAATATACATTTGTATATATATTATGGAATGTGAAATAAGCTACCGGTAAGTGGTAATCGTCGTCTATATACAACATAGACAACATGCGTTGCTGTACCCTAAAATGTTAGGTAAGGTAGTGTCTTTATATCGCCCTTCAACCGTATAAGTTTACAAAGAAAGCTAATTGGCGGCTGAAATAGGTGGGACTGACATTACCACGCAGTCAATCTTTATAAGGTAAAAAATAAATAATTAGTACATACGTTCATATGTAAATTTTGATATGTAAGATTAATTACGATTAAAGAATCAAGAGGATTTTCCTTTTAGTTTAGTAGTGTAAAGCACTTAAATACGAAATATGTATTACCCGCATATGTGGTGTCGTTTTGTTAAATCTTTCAGATTATTTCTTAGTTGAGAGTCATATGAAATGAAATGAAATTTATTGCTTAAATGTGGTTTTAGATTGATGGTTAAACATAATTAACTTATATTTATAAAACTACGTTTTTAATACAATTTGATTTTTATATCCAATATTTGATATATTGGTTGCAAAAAAATAAATTTAGATGTATAGGGTATTTGATAGTGAGTTTTAACAATAAACTCACTATCAAACACGAGATAAAATGAGATAGCCTTCGCGATATTGGACTTTTTACGCTTACGGTTATAATTAAATAGTTATTGATAGATTGATTTGACACTTACCTAAATGTTCTTGTGGTTAATTGGATAGTTATTATCTGTCTATATGTGGAGAAAACTGGTAGTTACTGCCTTAGGGCAGTAACTACCAGAAGCTCGATTAAGATTTCCGTTAAATACTTAACATTTTCTCATTACGAATTATGCATACGTACTATACTGGTAGTATTATTATACAATATAGATAATGTAGTAATAATATAGATATCTTATATTATGTATACAGAGTATAAAACAAAGTGACTAAGTGGGCTAGTTTTTTAAACTATGCAAGGTATTTTAATGCAGTTTTCAGCAATGGGTAGAGTGGCTCAAGTGGAAGGTATTTATGTATAATACAGTCAGATTATAGAACAGAAAATCCGACGAGAAATTCAAAGATTTGTGCAAAGTCGGGACGGGTCGCTAGTATCTGTATAATGGATTCAATTAAAAACTTTTTCTCCGTGATACTCCTTGGTACTTACTGGTTGGTAGTGTAAATAGGAACAAATCTAATTTATTTCGTGAAATTTGTTTCAATGTTATCAATCATTTGTCAGAGCGTTAGTGATAATTTACATTATGGTAATTTATTCTAATTACTGTTACTGTTTAAAAGGCAATTTATTTTGCAGGCCATAACAAGAAGTAAAGAATAGTATGATTATGCTTTTTATACGGAATTTCGACAACTATTCCAGTATAGAAATAACACTGCATATTTATTTATATAAGTAGCAATAGTGACTAATAATTTGACTTGATGCATTCTAAAACTTTTCTTTTTCCGATAAAAATTGAGAATGATTTATAACAGTTGCATAGTTATACCGTATTATAATAATTTACACTAAATCAAGGGCCAAGAGAGAAAGTAGAACAAACTTCTTCACCGACGCCTTCGTACTACCATTTCAGTGTATCAATAAGGCGATCTGTTTTCTAATTCGTTTATTTTTTAATGATTCAACGATTAAGGAATTGTTATGAAAGGTTATCTAGAAGATGTTGCAATAAGAAAGTCTGATATGTTTCTAAACCGTCCTAAGGAAAGCTTTAAACATAGGAGGTCTACAATAACCTAATGCAAACAGTACTGTTGTGAAAGATCATAGCCTACAGTACTACAATGCTAATACATTTTTATTGCATTTACTTTACCATAGTTTCGTGGTTAATATTAACAACATAAGGATCAAGATTCTGTGTTCTTGTACATACGCGTTTAAATACACGTAGACACGTACACACTCATTTTTTTACTCTAAGAAACAACAGTAATGTCTAATTTATTCCGATTAAATTTCGATTCTCGAGTTACTACATGAGATTTATGTCGAAAAAAGTTTATAGGACTAATAAAAACAGCAATTCAGCTCGTATTTCAGTGCACGAGAGAGTTGGTTATCAAAAATAGCTTTTGTAACAATGTACTATCGAGGCAATAGTGTAGTTTAGTAGTAAGAGGTTTATTTTCATATAAATTGAAGTACTTGCGTTGTATATCTCCATCTATGTCTTTTATGTTATCCCTCATAAGATAAATCACTAGCTATTTGCATCATATCGAAATACAACAACACAAGCATTGTTTGTTGCTTTACCAAATGTATATTATAAATTGCAAAGTTTTGATTTTGTTGTTTGTAATGAATCGACTCAATAAACATCTAACGCATTTTGTAAAACATGGATTTCCGTACGTCATTGTACCATTGACATTTAAGAGAAATGTTCTTGAATAAAATCAAAATGCGACTACATCATTAATCATCAACAATTGGTTATATTTTGTTATGAATAATATAAAATAAGTTACAGATTGCTACAATTAACGCACCCCTGTGTAGTCACTAATTTCACTAATTTTAATGTGGTAAAAACGGTACACTATAACATCTATGAATATGACACAATAACTAAGAATTACTGAGACTTTAAGATATACATAGTTATATATATGTATACATAGATATACATATTCTATATATAATTAAAATATTAATAGCATATAGAAAAGAAAACTTACCAATATTAACTAGTTTTACGCCGTCGTCTTCAATGGCCTGGAGTGCTGTGGTGACATTTTCTAACTTGTGGTGTTGGTTGTTGGGATTGGTGCTCCAACCTTTCAATCTACGGCCTTGCAACGCCTCTACAAGTGAACACAACACAGTGCCATCTCTTAAATCTTCCACTAAGTCCACGACCTAAAAAAATAATAGATGTTTCTATTTGTGTTGAGGTATGAGACCTAAGTCTTCGGGATTGTCACGCAAGAATGACAAGTCACGGGCGTCATATTATGATGTAACGTCAACGTATAACGTAATACATATGTATATATAGGCAATGGTTGCCACTTACTATCAGATGGGCCTTAGCTTCATTGCCACTATACTTATATAAAAAAAGAAAAAAAATAGATAACTATCAAGTCTAACTCTAATATTTAACTACTCATTTAAAATTAAGATTGAAAAACTTTGACGTCGTAGACTACTAGTGTCGAGTCCGCAACTATTTACTACACAGAAGAAATAGAAGTCTATTTAAATTTAAATATAATTTGTTTATTGAACATCTCATTGTCATAAAGACTGGAGCAGGCAACATCAATCTTTAGCAGTTGGAAATGGTTATGTCATTTTTATCTTCATAATAATTCAAAAATATAAATATTTTACAATCTGTAAAAATGGGTATTCAAAAATATTCATAAATACTCGTGACAATTACAAGCATAAGCAAAATAATTAGCACAAATGTGTGCATTCTTTGTGAACTAATGCATTTGATTTTATTTTATTTATATGGATTATAAATGGCTTTAAAATAGTTTTAACAATAACTTTAAATCTGGTTCATAATATATAAGAGTATAGTGCAAGTACGAAACATTTACACCATTGTCTTATACCAAGAGTGCTGGACTAAATAAATATGAAATAGTAAAAAAAAATATCTATGTCAATACATTAGCGAGAAACTATGTACAGACAGTTAACAATTAACCATAATTCCAACTATGCTTAATACATTAGATATAGTTATACAAAAAAGTTGATTATAAAGAACAAAATTGCGGAATTTCTACTTCTCGATCGGAGCATGTCGAACCATGATAACCATATAAATGTATATGAAATAATATAATATATTCTAAATAATATATAAATACGTACACTAACCTTTTAACGAATAATTGAAATTATTTCTATATATTTATGCATGTTATTTTACGAAATAGTTAATACCTACCTTTATATCCATCGGTTTCAGCGTTTCATTTACCCAGTTCCTAAAAGTATTGGCTTGGATTTCGACCCATAAATCTTCATGCCCTTTAATGGCCATTCCTTTAGCAGCAGTTCCCTCAGGACTCCGCGCGGCCAGACCGGCCTGGGTGATGCGGCCGGCTGAACCCTCGGCTGAATGGGCCCGAACACCTTGGTGCGTCACTCTAACGCCTTCCATGTTGGCGTTGATTACTACACTCACTTATCACAGTCACTAAGTCTTCTCATTTGGGATTTGGCACTACATATCGTTGTCATCTGAAAACAAAGAGAAGTTTTTTTATTAATATGCAAGGATATTATAAAGCACATATTTACTTATTTATGAGAGCTCGGGAAATTAAAGAGACAAGCAGATGTGTATAGGGGTTTTGGTGATATTGGTAGAATATAGATGCGAATGTCCTTTCTACTAACTGCGAAAATTGTGAGAAATCTTTATGATGTTCCATCTGATCTTCGCAATATCGTGTGCATCATATTTACTTGACATTTATCAATATATTTCGCCAAATTTACATAATATCTTTTAAAGTTATAGTTTACGTGTTAATCTAATGTACGTTTCATAGAAATCCATTTAATTCCGGCTATGATTTCACATTAAACACTAATATTATTTTTTCTATCTAATATCGACAGACTCACTGTATAAGTTATAATATAAATATTATAACGAATTTATTTATAGAGCTATCAAAATTGCATTAATGATTATCTATTATTTTTTCAATAGTATAAATATTTGGTTAGGATTTAGGTATTAAAAAAATGTAACTGTTTCCGTACACAGTATTCTAATAGTTTAAACTGATATACTAAAAGAAACTATTTAAAGCCGCCATTTTCAGTCGACCCATAACATTATCATAGTAAATATACGTTTATATAATGTATTTCTTTGTGAAGAAACGTAAAAAAAGGTTTAACACTGACTATACGTAAGACATAAATTATACTATTTACTAAAGAGATTAGTTTCGTGGCACAATTCTCACTTGGGTGACCTGTATTTAATATTCTTGTGACACGTCAATGGAGCTCGAATCTTAAACTTTAGAACAGATTGATGACGTATTGTCGCTGGAGCTTTGATTGATGATCGTCTCTAACGTTATTTGTTAGCCCGTCGCTGTAAGCTCATACAAAAGGCTGACTAGTAGAGTTAGCAGCATCTAAATAGCAATGAGATAGTTTAGACTTATATTGGAAAATTTTACTAATAAGATATATCCTATATGACATTTATAGTATTTTTAAATATATTATTATAGTCCGCCTGATTTGTCCTGGATTATAATTGTTATTAAGTATATTAATTAGAAACATTGTTCACAAAAGAAGGGATTCCTTCTAGCCAATCCAAAACAGTATGCCATAGAAAGTGATGAGTGGATCACAGAAGTGCAAATAATAATTATTGGAAATGTCAAGAAGTAAAATAACTAAATAAAAATGAAATAGTAAGGGTTAAAAATACTGCACGATATATTTGTATTCTCTAACATTAGCTATAATGGCTAGAAATGAGCAAAAGAAACAAACGTACATTTTTGTAATTTGTGTTTTTATTATAATCTATCTTAAATTTGTTGAACATAAATCTTTTGTAACTAGTCCTTACTATACAGATAGTAGACACGTTAGAAACGTTAAGAAGCTCGTTTGTGCAGTGACATAAAAAAGACGTAAATATTTCACGATATTTAGATGGCATTAAATTTTCTGTTCCATTCTTAGTGCTCTGGTAGGCAACAAAACAGCTATAAATGAGAGAAGGGCCAATAAATCCCACATGTAATCCCCGCGTGGAGGCGCCTCGGGAAGACATTAAGAACGATGCTTTTTTCTAATTACTTCGAAAATTGTTTCCCTCTTTCCCATTTCTTGATTATGCTGATTAGAAAGTTTACTAATTTTTTAATGTACTAACTATAATGATATTGTATGAAATATCTTGACAGAATTTCGTATTTGTAGTATTTATTATTACTCTATGTAAAGTACTTACTGTACTTGTCCCCTAAGATTACACTACCGTCTACTCCATGTGAAACTTGAACATATTTTATAGAGTTTGTTATAAGACACTACTGTACAGATTTGAATTTTTTATTGATATCTAAGTTACTGTTATTTCAGATTTCAATATGTACTCGTAGATAATATTACCTCTGTTAATACAAACAAAAATCTGAAAGCAATAGCCACTCGGGCGAGGCAGGGGCGGGCTACTAGTCTATTTCATTATGTAGAAGAGGATATCTGGTAATGGTTTACTATTAGCCCATTGCTAACAATTTGTCTCTGAAAAACAACGCAGTTCGCCATAAAAACCTTCATGGATTATTCCTGATGAATTTGCAACGATACGCTAATTGATCTGATTTTATCCTCATCTTGTATTCCACCGTTTTCTCACCAGTACCGTTAGCAAAGGCGAATTCCGTATTCTATCAATATTCAACAAAAAAAAAACTATATTATGTAGACGAGTGGGTGCCCACGTTTAAATTAGTGCGATTCATATTTATGTAATAATATTACGTATAATATTCTATTATATAGAGCACGTGGGATGGTTGTGATGTGACATTCCTTGATGATGACAGCGTCACATCTATTTTAAGTTATGTTATGACAATATACAGCCTAATTGCGTTAAAAAATTAGTTAGTCAATTAATGTCGTACTACTTAGCCGAGGTATGCTTTACAAACTTATACCAATTTTATATGTTGCTTTGCATGAAACGTTAAAGGCATTACATAGGTTGAGATAAGACAGTGAGATAAGGCAGTGAAGCTAATTACAACTAATTAGAGTAGATAGCATGATGATGTGATGTCCGTCGTGCTTTTCAAGTATATAGACGGGAGTTAGCATGTAGCATTAGGTGGATATTAGCTGTTGTTCGCTTGTGCTCTGAATAATTCCTAAGAATACTCTCCATGATATCCTATATCATATTTTATTATATGTCTAATAATCATATATAAGATTTTATAAAGTTAAAAGAGATATTTTGCACTCTTAAAATGATATGTATATAATTAATTCCCACGAAATGACAATCCTCTTGATTGCACACACACAGAAATATCAAAATTTCTGCAACTAATGTTACACACAATGTATAAGTTATGAAATACTGTGTTATATCTTAATTTTCGAATTTGTTTAAAAAAAGACCTAGTCTGTGTACCTAATACTATGTTAAGCCTATTCTGAGATGACCTTGATTATTATTTTTAATGTTAGAATTAGAATTTTACTTATTTTATTATAGGTTGCTGGAATTGCGAATGATTAATCATTTGTTATAGTAATATAATATATATGATAAATAATTAATCTTTAATTACATAGAAAAAAACAATGTCATCATTATCAATTATGCTAACGCGATACGACTAAGCATGGCTACTTATATAAAAACGCTTTAAACTTTTTCGTTTCATTAAAAAAAAACTAGTTTGATTTCGACAGTGTGTAATAGTGTATTGCAATGAAAATTTGCATAGATTTCATCTTAATTTTGCGAAACATAAATATCAATAATATTAAGAAAAAAATAGAACTGTCCACTTAGCAGTCGAAGGCGAATATGATATGAACAGATTCCTGATTTCTTTATAGTAATAAAAGTATTCGTAGACTATCACTTTATTTAAATGCAAATATAATTAATTAACATTTTTGTGACCGACTAGATCCATTGATTTTCGAGAAATTGCTTCCCTGTTCATCTAACGCGCATAGTGTGCAATCAAGAGGATTGTCATTTCATGGGAATAAATTATGTACATATCATTTTAAGAGTGCAAAATATCTCTTTTAACTTTATAAAATCTTATATATGATTATTAGACCTATAATAAAATATGATATAGAACTATTAAGAATACTATAAAAAATTAGTTTGAAGTTAATATAAATTAATCAACATATTAATTATAATTTATATATATATAGATGACGATTCAATATCACACCCACACAATGCGTCTAATTATATTCAATTACATGAAATATAACCAGGTATCCGATAATGCTTAGTATAAAAAGTTTAGATCAGGGTTCGCTAATAATTGGATAGCGGCTTCTTTTTTTTGTGTCATTAAAGTGGCAAAAAATCTGACGTGCCACCTAATTGTAAATGGTAAAAGTAGTTTATATACATGCACAGCACTACAGACACCACATCATTGCCATTCCTAAGAACCAAAATGTCATGCTTCTACCGTATGATTTCGCTGTCTTAGCCTCCTATCATCTCTCAACCGAAGTACAGTATGGCATTTGAAATAGGTGAGATTATGGTATCCATGTGAGCGATGAAATTTATCTTATTTTTTATTGTTGTTTTAAGTCAAAATTCCACTCCGCGCATTATTAATAACATGATGTGCATTAAAAATGTTGACTGTATAATGAAATTTATTTCTTTTTGTTTTAAAAATATACTGTAGTGTAGAGAAACTGCTAATGGTGGAATAAATGATCAAGTAACAAAATTTTCAATTTGTAAATATAAATAAATAGAAGTGGAAATTGTATTCATATATTGAATACCTGATAGATAAATAAACAGTCGGAAATATAAATAAAACAAAAGATTGTATTATAGAAACATAGATGTTGTCATTATAATGGAGTCTTCTGATAATATTTTTTTATTATTATACCATTATAAAAACTATCAAGTCTCGATAGCCCTAATTTATAGTATGTATGTATGTGTATATTGTAGTTTTTATCAGGTACTGACAAAATCGCCACCCACTTTGATATTTAAATTACAATATGGCAAGTATGCCTTTAGTCAAAATAATGTAACTCGTATCGTTATCCTTAAATATAATACTGTTTAACAACATATTATCATTATAAGTAAACTTTTCTTAGAATTTGCTAGAATATAACTAGTTTACGTCTTCACATGCTCACAAATTCGTTGTCTCTTAGTAGAAATATATAGTAGGAATAGTAGGTAGATATGACTAAAATAACTTGTAGGATTAAATAAACATGGAAAAGTACACGAATCTCACGAAGCAAGAGATCTCTATGTGGCTAGAGAGCTAGTCGCACTGAAAAGAGAACTGTCGTAAAGAGATATTTCCTATTTTTTGTTTTATTTGGATTGATTAATGTTTAATGTTTATTGAATGTTTTATTGTTGTTTTTGATACTACAACTATTTACAAACAAGTTTAATAATATGCTATCTAAATAGATAGGTAAAATATAGGTAC